GTGCTCCTGGACCATTTCAGTGACTGGTGAAAAGTGCAAGATTTAGCACACACCTTCCTACAGAACTAAGAGTATATAGGGTTCAAATTTTAACTTCCTTCCCCCATGGCAGTATTTGAAAACCACTGCTAAAGTACTGCCCTTGAATTATTATGTGTAATTTTTTTGCTAGAGATAGAAAAAGGTGATGTTTCTCAACAATCATTAACTATTACCAAGCCATCTCTTTCTAAAGAAATTAGACAGTCCATAAGTTACTTCTGCCTTAACTCAAAAGGAGACTTCCACACTCCTGTGACAAAACAGAACTCTACACCAAAGCTTATCCACGAGGCAAGTGCATTTCTGGTATTTCTGTCACAAAAAAAGAGAACAGAGGATGGAAACAGAGAAGGACAATCGACGTAACAGAGGTCTTCCCATCTAGGGGAGATTAAGCAGGGTTTGGTGGGGGGGAAATATCTAAATATAACAGTATTAAAAAAGTCAATTACATCATTATAATATGAAATCAATTTTACACAACACCCAGTTAAGCAACCTTCTAAACCACATACTGGCTTAAAGAAAAGTATACCAGAATGGAAGACCACACATTTACTGTTTCTGAATCTCTCCCCTTGAGCATTAACTGCTGTCCACACAGCAAATAAGAAGAGAGGTCCATGCAACATGCTTCACATGTTGCAAGGCTTTCTTAGTATTACATCAAGTAACCAAGGCACAGCCAACGCAAGAACCCTCAGTTTAAGTCATTTTCACCCTCCTTCAACATGAGCATTCTGACCTGGCATAACAGGAATCACTTCAACCCCTTTTCAAACTTGCTCTACAGCTTCAATCAACTGAAATCTCATTTCCCTGACTGCAAGACAGGAAAAACACGTGTTCATTTTTGTAAATATTAAGATCTGTTGTACTTTTTTATCTATAGAAGTTCAAGGCATCATGAATTTTGTTAAGTGCTATAAAAGTGTCTATAAATAAAGTATTTGTGGGATGTTGCTGCTTGTGTTGTCCCTGTTCTTTGAATAGCAGACGGTTTCTAGTCTTTACAATCTGCCATTTGCATTAAATTCATTTGCATCAAATGCATATGCATCAAATGCATTTTGAGAAACAAAAAGCTGAAACGAACCAGCATAATTCCAAACCTACTCATACTCTAGAAGAGGATTTCTAAAAAGCTATGTTTTAACATATGTGCAAGGAAACAGAAGAAAATCTTCTTTAAAGAATAAAGAAATGTAAAAATGTATTAGAGTGTGCTCCAGATTATTTCTATATTTACTAATCTTCACTATGTTAACAAATAGCTTCCTTTATGCTCATATAAGCCCCAGCTAACATACATCATGATTACAGTCAGCCACGTTAGAATGCAAAGTCTACATTACTATTTGTGTGCAATTACTCTATTAATTAAGTTAATGAGTCAAGCACTGAGGTGTTCAGAATTGTATGGAGACTAATGTCCGCTGGGAATTACAAATGTACTACATGTGCCAGTCACATTCCCGGTTCCTTTCCCATTCTACCCCTATTCACATATGATCAAGTATCACAGACAAGTAAACTGTACTGGTCATTGGGAATTCTACCCAGAAGGACAAAAGAAACAGTGGATGAACACTGAAACATATGCTCCTATTGAGACTCATCTCTCTCACATTTCAAGTTTAAAAAATAAAAAGCCAGATCTGCAAACACAGAAAGAAATGTCAAACAAACCCACATATACACTTTCAGCTAACATTTAAAGTTCTTCGCTTATTAACTATGGGAGCTTTATACTCTATCCTGAAGTACCAAGAAGGAATAAGAAAATCAGTCTTGGTCTCAGCAACTTCTCATTCAGAAGCTTGAGAAAATAAGTAGTCAACAAATGTCTAGCAAAGATGCTGATAAGGATGATCCTTACAACTGCACAGGAATTAAAATTATGGTCAAGAAGTGACACTCTTTTTAACATCACAGCAATACACTGTAAAGGCAGAACATATGACAATATACTATTATAAACATCTACACTGATATATTTCCCATTTCATTCTATGAGCTTCCATAGTAGGTAAGATCCCTTCTAGCACCGACGTTCCCTCCACCAAAACTCAATCACTCTTACCGAAATTTGCCAAAATACTTTTACCTGTAGTTTACAAGTTTTAATGATCTTATTAATTTATGACAGTAGCACGAATCTTTCTGCTCAACATACAAATGAGAACTCACTGAAATGCATCAGAAAGCATATAACAAATATTCCCACCCACCTATCCCTAACAGTCATTTCTGAGCGGGAAAAACGGTAAAGCTGGATGAGTATTTTGTTCTCAAACATTATCTGTTGACATCAAGACATAGTTTAGAGGCTGAAGTACATAAGCTTTTCAGTACAGCGTTTTACATTCAAGCTAGCATGAACATTTTAAAGAAAATTTCAAGAAATCCACCTGAACGGTGGATTCCAAATGCAGCAGAACTACTAATTCTGAGTTTCTGGATTAATGTGGGAAAGGGAGTGAATAATGATTTCATCGACCCCTTTCCAGTTGCTGTGCCTTGCTGGTGGACAAAACAGAGAGCAATGCAGAAGGAAAAAATCAGCATCTACAACAGAATAATCAGTCAAAAATGGATCACTCCATCGTATACCTATAAAAAGAAACCACACAACAAAACAGCTGGCAGCCTGTGATTAAGCCTAAGGTCTCCTGACAATATAACAGGCTACTGACACTTAACTGACATGCCAACATCGACAGTTTGAGAGAAGGGACCTCTGGGAATTACAGAGAATGATAAAAACTACAGTGAGCAACTGCAAGACAAGCCCAAACTCTCACAATAACACTAGAAAATAAGACAGATGCAGATATCATGACCAAAAAAGGAAACAGATGAGCATTTAAGATTGTAGCAAGCAAATATTTATTTACTCTAAATGAAATTGACTTCCTTAAAAGCATCTTCTCTTATCTTGTCAAATACCGGGGCAGTTGTTCCACAATCATTTTCCCTCAAAACCACCTATCACGTCAAAATTATAACAATCTAGAAAAACTTAAAGCACTCTTTAAAAGTCATGACAAATTAGCATGGAAAAATTCCACATATTTTAATAATATTTACCTCATGGTCTTGGTTATCTTGTCCATCTTTGCCACTTTTTCCACCCTTGACTGATTTTGTAGGTTCCTTAAAAAAAAAAAAGTTTGCAGTCTCAGTTTTTCTGAAAAGGAGATCTAGATAGATTTTCAAGTCAAGACACTCACTAAAAGTAATAAAATTGACAGAATGAAAATGATGCTGTTTTATTGGAAGATCTTAATACTGAACTATCAGTCTCTACAAAGCTGCCTTAAACATTTTTATCTGTAGAAAGGCTTTGGAGTTTTATTTATGCCTCAAAATTCACCCATAAAGATAAGTTTTCACACAGGTGAGCAGGCAGAGACCAAGAATGCAAGCGATTTGAACCATGTCTATGAACTTGCTCTCTTCAGTTTATAGCTTCAGAAATATTTATATTTAGTTTAGCTTTGAAATCAGCACGAGTATAGCACACATTTTACACTTCATTATTTTGTCTGTTCTAGGGACTAGAAAGTCTCATATTAGAAGTAGGCCCACAACTCAATTTTCTCCCTCACAGCATCCTACTTAACTCGCATCCTTCACCTGCAGCATACTACTTTTGACATTTGTTACTCTCAGAAAAGTGAAGGAAAGTTTCAATGTTTTTAACGTCAAAGGTGCGAAGGATATTGGGAAAAAAAACCCCACAACACCCAACTTCCCCACATCTAATTTTAAAGCGATGTTGACAAACTAAAAGACAAACAGGATCCACCAAACAGGAGCGGTCGGGAGGGCCGGCAGCTGGATGAGGCAGACAGCACACTTCGCTGTCTCTGACTTCCACTCACATGGCTAATTGCCTCTCACACAAAACAGAGTGCGATCCAGCTAACTTCCTGCTGGATTTACAAGTTTTCTGCCATCATTACTCGTGCAAGCCCCTCTCGTGGCCGCCAGACAAATCCCTCCCGGGAGCGCCGGTAGAGCCTGAGGCGAAGTGGGGCCAAAGATCCTCTCCTATTGTCAGGAAAAGGAGCTGAAAGACTCCCGAGAGGCGATTAGCGCTCCTGGGATACTTAAGGAGATCCCCCAAGCACAACTCCCACCGCAGCCTGAGCTACGCAGCAGCCAAACTTCCCGGGACGGGGTGCGGGCGAGCAGCCGCAAGGAAAGACCCCCCACGCAACCCTGCCTGGAAAACACCCCTTCCCGCTCCCCAACACCCCCGGGCCCACCCCAGCGAGACCTCCTCTCCCCGCTCAGCCTCCGCCAGCCGCGGCTGAGCAGGACACGTTTCTCATCCCCTCCCTCCCGCACTCCCCCGCACGCCGAACCCGCGGCCACCCCCACTGAGGCGACACCGGGACCCCGCCTCGGCACCCCCGGCCTAGGCCCCGCCGGGAGCTGCCCCTTCCCCAGCGCCCGGCTCTGGGAGGAAGGCGGGGACCGGCACACGGCGGTGAGGGAGGAGGGTACCCCTCGCCTGGCTCTGCCGCGCACCGGGGAGCGGGAGCCGCGCTCCGCTCGCCTCTGCCGCCCCCCGCCCCAGGCCCCTCCTCCTCTTCCCCGCGGGGCCTGCGCCCCACAGCCTCCCCGCGGGGCTCAGCCCCCCCTCCTCCTCCCCGCCGTGGCCCCCCGCCCCGACTCACTTTCTCCTTCTTGTTTTTATTCGGCATGTCCGCGGAGGCGCAGCCCCCGCCGGCCCCGCTCGGCCCCGCGCCGCGCCCGCCCCGCGCTGCCGCTGCCGCTCCCCCGCTCCGCGGCGGCCTCGCGCCCCCCCCCCTTCCTCCCCCGCCCGCGGGGACCGGTCGCGCCCGCCCATTGGCTGCGCACGTCACGTGGGCCGCGCCTCGCGCCGCGTCACCCATGCGGGCGGGGCTGAGGGCGCCCCCGCCCGGCCCCCCCTCGAACCCCGGCGGGTCGGAGGCGCTCCCGCTGGGATCGAGGTGATCCCGGCGGGTCTTCCCGGGCTCCGGCCACGTCTCCGGGTGGCCCCGCGGGCTGAGCGGGGACAGCGGGGCGAGATGAATTGTCCTCAGCGCCCCGAGCCTCCGGTAGGCTCTTCCTCAGCCCATGGGAAGGGAGCGATCGCTGCACCCCCCCCGCCCTGAGCCGCTCTGGGTAGTGAGGGGCTCCGGGCGCCTGTCACTGGAGAGCGGAAATGTTAAGGAAAAAAAAACCCCAAAAAACCCAACGTAGGGCATACCCGACTCACGCTGGCCCTCTGGTACAAACCCAATGTGCCTATCATCAGTTTGAGGACTTCAGAGCACGCTTGCAGTGTGTGATGCATGAGGAAAAGGTGAGCTTTGCAAAGTTGCAGCCTGGTTTCCTGACAGTATCTTTATTCCTCGTTACCTTTTAAAAGCTTGGGTGCAGGTGTCTGTATGTTTTCACGGTGCCCGCCTGTACCAGAGATAATTTTTTAAATTATCAATTAACAAATCGCTTTTTAATCTCTCAAAGGCAGAATACAAAAAAATCAGAACGATCTTGGCTAAAAGAAATGTGCAGATACTTCATCTGGAAAATCTACAAACTGTATTTCTCACACTGCCAGATTAAGCCCCAAATTACTGTTAGTTGAGTAAAAAGTGCGGGGGACCTTAATACTCATAATAATGCCAGGACATAAAGCATTTAAAATTTAGGTGAGACATACTTGTTAAATTCTAATTGTGCTGTACTGCTAAAGGATAGAAAAATTACAGCTTAATAAATACAGCATAAAAGTGAAATTAATCTCCTTCCTTACCCAACCTGTAAGTATCAAAGCCAGCACGAGCAAACAGCTATGCTCTCCTTTTTGGGAAGTGGGATTTCTAATAACCACTTGTGTCTGAAGGGATGGTCTCTAACATCAGCTTGTATCCATTGTATTTGAACACCGCTTTTGCTGTGGCAAAAAGGACAAAGAAACTTTCCTTTTTCCAGGCACTGCAAAGAAGTCTACTCACTATGGAGAGCTGCTTCCTCTTACATCAGCCCTCTTCCTTTCCTGCTTCTTAAGTGCAGGAAAACAAATTATGTCTGCCTCTTATCCTTTCCTTAATCTTCTCTGGTTTGAGGGTTTATAAATGCAGTGCAGTTATCACTATTGTGCCTCTGTTAATAGCCAGTCATGAATGAGTTACTACTAATAAATGAGATTTCTCACCAGCAGAATAAATGGATTTTGGACATATTAAGCGACAATAAAGAAAAGAAATCTACCTCCATCTGTAGTCTGGAGTTTGATCAGTGTGTGAAAGGGTTTGGACAGCTAAGAATAAACTCAAGAGCTTCCAGTTTTTTGTTAGGTTTCAGTTTCATAGAAGCTTAAACTACTCTTAATTCCCAGCTGTTGTGCTCCTATCTCCCTCCTCTGCCCTGATGCTGGTACTGTGCAGCTCCTTAAACCTGTTCACAGAATTGATCAGGTTGAAAACTGTCCTCTCAAAGCAATATATTGGTTTGATTTTGGTTTGGTTTGTTTTTTGCCTTTTTTTTTTTTTTTTGCCTTGAGCTGGCACACCACCACCTGCTTCTGTAAACACTAGCATTGGCTGAAGGAGGGGGGTGGAAATATGTGGCGGGGGCGGGATGTGACCTCAACAGCCTAGATTTAGATCGGTTTAAGCAGCTTAATGAGTTTCTCATTGGCTCTTGGCCTCCTTTGTGCTTGCTAGTGCTCATAGTTTTTCCAAATAATGGAAAAACTCGATGTTACCAAGTGCTTCCGAATAGCATCAGCAAAAATTATCTGTCCTTATTTTGCAGTTAGTTGGGAAACCTTGAATCAATACGTCGGACTGAATACAGGTTCAAAAGATGGTGCTGACTCAGTTAACATTTAGGAGGTTTTCTTTGTGACCACAGATGTAGAAACTCTTGTGAAAACTTGACTCCCCCTCACTGCACTTGCTGCAGAGTCCAATTCACCAGTAACAGAAAGCAATTGTGTTTTTCAAGGCCTGCTGTATTAGATGAAATAGTCAGTGGGTGGAGGAGGTTTACAAGAAAAATAGTTCCATCTGTATGCTCCAGTGTCTTCATAAAACATGAGAATAAGTCAAGTGACTTACATGATAAAATCTTATTTTTACTACAATGGTATGTCACTGTGGGCCTAATTATTCTGCTACAGAGCAGGATTAACTATGTAAATAAGGTGATGTAATATGAGTGTGAATATGGCTGTATTAATATTTGCATTAACTTCTGAATGTTTCATGCAAACTAGGTGTTTTCAAAAATGAGAACAGATTCAGACCTATCTCTGTAATTAAAATGTCAAAAACTAATGCATACAGCATAGATTCCAATTTGCATTTTTTGCTGTAGTGATTAAATTGTCTAAACTTGCAAAAGTTAAATCACCAAATAATGTCAAGTATTGTGTAAAACACCTGGATAATATTTAATAGCTTGAAACTGGGCCAAGTGTCCAGGGTGCCAATGAAAGGGGAATATTTACATAGTTAGTCTTTTCCAGAAGTATTGGATATTCTTTTTTGTTTGTGTGCTTTTCATTTGTTTTGTTGTCATACTCTGGCCTGAGTTTATTGAACAGATCACTGTCACTGTGATGGATAACATCTTCCATCCCCAGCTGTATGACTTTACTGCTTCCCATGCACTGTCTCTAGTTTAATTGGGTGGTATGCCAGTTCAGCTTGTTAAAATGGCAGAAAACTAACTGAGCTGTGAGACAGGAGACAATGAGACCTTTTGCTAGGAAGCTGTTAATTTGGCTCAACTGAAACTATGCAACTGCACTTGTGGACAAGGTTTGAGAAGCCAATGAACTGTCATCATTATACATAGTTGTCAAACATTGTCAGGCTGTTTCTCCAAACATCTCTTCATTGACTGAAGCAGATCTCTTGCTTTCTGGGGCTCTGTGTCAGATGTAAAGAGAGAATTGAAAATGGAAGCACAACTGCCAGTAAGAAGGCTGGAATAGATGGCTTGAAATTTAAACAAATTTTTTTTCGTGCTTGTGCAGGTCAAACTACTATTTAAGGTAACTTTCCTGTCAGGAGCAAGTGTTTGCCAGACTATGTCTGAAGGAACTAACTGAGGGAATAAACTAATTCATCAGTACCTGTAATAGACTCTGCTTCTATGCAGCCTAGCATCAAAAGCTGCAAAACCAGTATGTTCAACTTCCAAAAAATGCTTAAACATCTTTCAGGAACTTTCTCCAGTAGCATGGATTCATTCTGCTTACCCTGAATTACATTAAATAATTCTTGTGCTGTTCTCAATCTAAACTGTATGGCTTTAATTCTCAACTCTTTTAAAACCCATTAGTGTTGGATGCCCTGCTGTCACAATCTGCAGTGTTGTAAAGGTTGCAAAACAATTTAGTCAAAGCTGTATAAAAGTCAGACTCTTTTGAGGTAATGAGTAGCGGGTCAAATTTGGAGCTTCATGCATGTAGGTAGCATGATATTTTAGCTCTATGTGTGACCACATGGTTACAAATGGCAATTATTGGCATCACTTAACACAGAACTAGAGGTGCACATTCAGAACCATAATTAGTCATATGTATGTGTAGTATTGGATACCCTCTAGCTGTAATACTGATGCATACTTTTGTAAAGTTTGGGCTGGTAAAAAATTTTTCATAATACTCATAGATATTTAATTATGCTATCTAAATCTCAACTTTATGAATTTTCAATGACCATGGAATTATTACATTGAAATATAGATTTCTTTGAGTTTTGTCTGGTCTTAATTCATTTCACTCTCTTCCTTGCCTCTTATGTTTAAAAAAATTGATAAGATTTCATTTGAATGTAGTGAACAACATTATCAATTATTTAGGCAATGATAGCATTATAGAAAAGATTTGCTAGGAGATTTTTCACTTAAAAAAAAAATAAAATCATGACTCTCTTTCCTTCAGGTAAGTAGTGAAACTCATGTTACACACCCTTTTCATTAAGCTCCCAGAGGCTTATTGAAAAAACCAGAAGCCACCTTGCTTATCTTCTATTGGGGAGCAGCAAGAGTTGTTCCATGAGAGAGAAAGAGCTCGGAAAAGAACATGGCTACAGCAAAGACAAGGTCCTCACTGGCCAGGGTACCATCCCAGTGGGGTCAGGATAGTGATAGTCACCAGTCTGAGACAAGGCAAGGTAAAAAGTCAGCGGCCCATCCAAGAAATCCACTAAGGAAAAACAGGAGACCAAAGACCAAAATGGAGACAAGACTTCCTATAACACAGATCTGAGGTTCAAGGAGACAAGCCCAGAGAGAGAACTATTATAACATAGATTTATGGTTCATCCAGGAGACCAGGGCCAGAAAGAATGGTGTACCTGCAATGTACACCTGAGATCCACTTAGGAAGTTCAGTCAGTAAGCCATGCTGGAAAGAGATAGGGCTGCATATAGATACAGCTCAGACAAAGTGGGCCAGGTTTGGATGCACAGGCCAGAGCTTAAATAGAGCTCCTGGACCACTTGGAAATGCTGTTACATATGGCTGGTAATTGGTCTGCTATTGTATGCCAGTAACCATTGTCCATGTTAATTAACACGTGGATTCTGGATTTCTGTTTGGGCCAACTTAGTTTTAAAATAAATGTGAAAAAACATAAATAATGAGTATGGAAAACTCATGCAGCATGTTACTAAGGCATTGTACTGGTTTTAGCTGGGATAGAGTTACACTTCTTCACAGTAGCTTCTAATGGGGCTAGCTGTGCTTTGGATTTGGGATGAAAACACTGTTACTAACATAAGAATGGTTTTGTTATGGCTGAGCAGTGATTACACAACCTCAAGGCCTTTTCTGTTCCTCACACCAGTAAGGAGGCTGGGGATGCACAAGAGATTGAGAGGGGACACAGCTGGGACAGCTGACCCCTGCTGACCCAAGGGATATTCCATACTGTATGTTGTCTTGCTCAGCAGTAAGGCTGGATGGAGGGATGGGGAGGTTGGCGGGGGTTGTCATTGCTTGGGGACTGACTGGGCATCAGTTGGCTGGTGATGAGCAATTGTTTGGGGTTTTTTTGCATATTTCTTTTTTATTCTCTCTCTCTTTTTTTTAATTATTAAACAGTCTTTTTCTCAACCTATGAAATTTCACACTTTTACCCTGCTGATTCTCACCCCCGTCCCACTGGAGATAAGTGAGTGAGCAGCTGTGTGGTGCTTAGCTGCCTACTGGGGTTAAACTACATGGCAGGCCTCACTACTGAGGTTCAGTAATATCCTGGACAAATTATATATAACAAAAATATCTAATATTATCTAATGACAGTTAAAACATTTTTATCTGCTTGTGGCCACAGTTTGCACAGTGGTTATTAAGTATTAAAATGACCTACATGTGGGAATTCAGATGATGATCAAAGTAATAGACAGGCTATTAAGCCGGATGAACCATTTGTCTTATCCAGAATGCCAATTCCTATGAGAAGTGCCTGCATTTGTGTGCTGGTACCCAAATTCCAGAGATGGGAATTACAAAAATAGTAACATTAAAACACGTTGTACAAATCGCTTGGTGTTCTTCTGTCTCAGTGAAGCAAATAAAAGGATCATAAAAGCAAGACTTTGCTGCATGTCATGCAGTAGAATCTTTCTGTGAGAATAAACTCAGAGAGGTGCAACTTTGTTGGTAACATATATGAACCAGGATGTCTGCTGTCACATTTTCATTATTTTTGTGGGTTTATTTTTTGCATTCGTAATGAGTTAAGAGATACTTGAAAATATTATATAATAATCTGTTTAACATTTATTGGCTGTGCCTAGCATTTAGAGGGTAGAAGGGACATGTTTATTTTTGGTAATTCTTCTCTTTTTCATATCCAAATTGAGTATTCTTATGGTGTATTTTGATGCAATTTTTAGCAGTCTTTGTTCATTCCGGGATTTTGCTGTGCTAAGTACAATGCTCCCATACATGTACTAGGATTCCTTCTTCCCACATGATATAAAAGGGAAGATTAATTTTGTATCAGATGAGTGAGACTAGTAACATAAAGGTGACTGCAGCTAAGACTCCTACATTTTCATTTTTATCATACTTAAGTTGATATTTATAGAATGAACGAAGAGATCCAATTAATTGTACCTCCTGTTGATGCCGTACAAGATTTTCTCTTTCAACACTTCATATTTTTTTTCTGGCTTTTTAAGGATTTGTCATAGCTAATATAGCTGTATATTTTTATCTCAGTGTGGGAAGAGTTGAAAGACACACTCAGAAGGCACACTCAGGACTTAACCCTGCAAGTACCATGAGTTTGTGGACACATGAGGGGCTGCTTCTATGTATGCTCGGAAGTGTCCATCTTCTCAGCTGATGAATACGCTGCATTTCTGATTTTCGGGAGCAATCCGTGCTTCCTTGACAGAATGTGAGGAGCAGCTTCCATCTACAGAGCTTTTGGCTTGCTCCCCCTAGGGCAGGCTGCCTGCTGTTACACTGTGCAGGGTTTGCAGGAATCTTGTAGGCTTCTGCAGGCCTTTCCACAGCCTTTCTGCATGCACAGCACTAATATCGCTCCTCTGCTGTGCTCACATCCTGTGATCAGGCCATTTCTTACTGTGTACTTTAAGATGGGTGAAACTTGTTTTTAAATATCGTTGCCTGGGGCTACAGTGAAACCCCTCAGCATCAAGCTGTCCTACCACGTCTGTTTTGGTAGTCAGGGTCCTTTATCTTCAAAAGCTGTGATAGAGTCCTCTGCCACACTGACTCTCTCTTAGCACTTTAAAGTCTATGTTTTCATATGAGACATCTGAACAATTTTGAAAGGTTCTTTAATAAGAAAACCCTATTTTGTTTGCCCAAGATAAAAGGAGAAGTGCTTGCGGCGCACCACTTATCTGCTACTGAACCATGTTATCAGAGAGACGTGTTATGGGGTCATGCCAGGCAAAAGGCTTGCAAGGATGATGTTGGAGGATTGGATCAAGTGCAGAGAGACTTTGTACTCAAACCATTTCCTAGAGCTATCTAGCTACTGAATGGCTTCTAGATTTTGTCTAAGAGGAAACCTTGTTATTTTGCTTCAGAGGGTATTCCAGGAATAATCAAGCATGTGCACAGACTGAATGCTAATAAAGAGGACTTTGGAACCAAACAGGTGATGATTCAACCTGATAGTATAGGTGTAGTCAAAATCTCCTTATGTGCTATGTTGGAAGCCTCGGTCTGTAATTCAGCTGTAGATTCTACTGGATGGCAAAACTCCCGAGTCACAGAATCACAGAATGGGTCAGGCTGGAAGGTAGGTACTACAGTGGATCATCTGGTCCAACCTCCCTGCTCACCCAGGGTCATCCCAGAGCACATGGCACAGAATTGCGTTCAAATGGTTCTTGGATATCTCCAGTGAAGGAGATTCCACACCGTCTCTGGTCTATCTGTTCCAGTGCTCGGTCACTGCACAGTAAAGAAGTTCTTCCTCATGTTCTGGTGGAACTTCCTGCGTGTCAGTGTCTGCCTGCTGCTTCTTGTCCTGTTGTCCTATCACTGAAAAGAGCCCGGCTCCATCCTGCTGACACCTTCCCTTTGAATATTTGTACATATTGATGAAGTCCCCTCTCATTTGTCTCTTCTTAAGACTGAACAGGCCCAGCTCCCTCAGCCTTTCCTTGTGACAGAGGTGCTCCAGTCCCTAAATCATCTTTGTAGCTCTCTACTGGTCTTACTCCAGGAGCTCCATGTCTCTCTTGTACTCAGGAGTTCATCATTCTAAATTCAGTGTTTCACTATAAGTGTTATAAGAATTTGTCCACTTTGGCAAACCAGAATATTTTTGCTTAGTCACATTTTAGAAGGTGTCAGCTCCATTTTTACTGAAGGTTTAAAAAAATCAGGTACTCTGAAAGTATTTAGATGCAGCAATTAAACATTGGCAAAGTTTATAAGCATTTCAAACTAGAACCTTACAATAGGAGGTGTTAGGGCAACGTAACTGCAGATTTCTCTTCCATCTGTATTTGTATCATGGTGTGTTCTGTCTATCTGGTATGCCTGTACAGATTTTGCCCTAGGCTTAAATTTGTTTGCATCTTGTGTTCAGTATTTATTTTAGAAATTTTGCACAGTTGTGAGTTGTATTTACATTTTATCATCATTTCTTAGGTACACTAGAATGTCTTTTGAACACCAGGCAGGGGAATAAAAGTACTGACAGAAAACAATATGTATGGACAATTACTAAGATGCCAAAAAACAAGGCCTTTGACACAGATTTTTTGCCTGCATGCATTCCATAGAAGCATAACACATAATCTTTATACATGATACATTCCCTTTACAGAGGTTCATGGGTGTTTTAACTTTATGCTCTTTTCTTACTGTCCACAGTTTTTTGCTGTCTGTGAAAATGGCATGTATGTTGATGTCAGCAGAGCTGATTGACCACAACTGTTCTTATAGAGTTTAATCTCACAAACCAGCTCCTGTCTCCAGCATGCTGTGTGTATCTGCTCTTGTTTTTATTGCAATCCTACATGTTTCTTTTCAACTTTGTCAGAAGATCTCAATTCATACATTTGTTGGCTGTTTAGAGAAGTCTCCCTATACATGTGACATTGATTCAAGAATTGTGAGATCTATTCTCCATTCTCAATTGTGAGATCTATTTTTCCCTTCACTGGGGCTACCAAGGTAGTTCATTTTCTATATTGTGTTTTCTAATTTATAGATTAAATGCCCAGATTTCTTTATGGACTCCTTTATTTTTGTTTCAGAGAAAGAATTAGCATTCATTTGAAAGTTACCTGCTTTTCAAAAGAAATTGAAATGAAAAATCCCTGTTATTAGCATATAAAAGAAGCAGATTGGTAAGTGCCTGTTCATAATTCTCATGGTACTTTACATTTAAAGCTTCTTTCTTATATGTAAAGGGGATAATGGCAGTAAGGTAAACAAAATGTGTACAGAAACAAGATAAGGTATGTAAGATACATAAATAAAGATTTCTTTACATACATTTATATAGAAATCCTACTCATCACCCCAAGTTAATTAGATTTTTTCTGACTGTAGTAAGTTGGATTTGAATTTTAGTTCTACTAAATATGTGAAGGCATTTTAGTATTTATCTAAAATGTCAGAAACTAGATGAACTAATAGCTAATATTTTAAGAGTTTGTTTTTTTAAATTTACCTATATTATGGAACCAACTAGAGGTTTTAATTGAAGACTGAAGTATTATAGCACTATACATGAAATACTGGTAAGGAAATGTCCTTTTCACAGTAAAATCTGGTTTTGCTATGTACTTCCTAAACAGTATTCTTCATATATAGGATTATTCAGTGAAATGCTAAATTAGCTATATGCATAAGTTGTGGGCTTGAAGCCAGAGTTGAGAGGAAAATGATCAAAAGCTGAGCAATTAAAAAGTAAAATTTACTAGGTATATATTTCTTAAGAGATGGAAAGGCTTGCTAGTCACTCAGATGAGTGTGTTCAACCTTTGACTGTGCATTTCCAGGCTGCTCAGCTGTGTATAGGTCAGTGTAATTTGGCCTGAAGAGATAAAGTTCATCACTTGATGCTGACCCTTGCATTCCTGTGCGTGCTGTTCACTGTATCCCGCTGGCCCAACAGGCTCATGTAGGCCTGAGTGAGCCTTGAATATACATGGTACAGCAGGTATATTCAGGAGCCTCTTAGTCAACTTTTGATTATTCTGTAAACATTACAGAGAGATGGTAAGTTCAGATGCTTTGTGTTTAAAAGATCTTTTTATGGTCTAACTTTAATTACTACTGGTAAACACTGATGGCTAATAAAGATGTCTTAGAAAAAGCCCAAGGGAACACTCTGTGAGCTCAGCAAAGGACTGGGGCTTGAATGATCTGGATTCTATTCTTAATGCGACCATTGATTTGCAGTGTGATTTTGGCAAGTTAATCTCTATGTTTCTGTTTCTATTTCACATTTTTATCTCTCTAGTCTACCTTGACTGCAATTTGTCTCTACAGTGCCTAGAATAAGGAAGAAGGCAATCTGGGCTGCGATTCTAATAATGGTGGTAACAAGTAACTTTAAATACAAACTGAGTTTCAATCATTCCATTGAAGTATGATTGTAATGGATTTGTGTAGATGAACAGAGATCCAGATTTAAATTACGTGTTCAGCCATCTTTAACCTAAAGAATTTAATCCTATCGGAGAGCTGTCTTTAGCATCTGTCTTCATGTTCTGCACTGAGCTGAGAGAAGATAAAACTTGAAGATAATGTCCATGGATGTCAAGGAGGTAACACAGTTGTATTTTTAACAATTCAGACTCAACATATGACCTGCTACTAGATGTCTGCAGCGCTTTTACATGTATAATTCCCTTTCATATCTGATACATTTTCAAAAATATTCTCATAAAAAAGCTTTCATATGATACTGACCTTATGTTTGAAATTTACTGATTAATTATGTCTGAGATGGCTATTGTTAGGCTTACTCCAAATATACCCTGATGGAAATTTTCTTTTCACAGGAGTAGTTCTTCTACATTATGACTAATTTTGCTATCAGATTCCAGGTGATGTAGGCAGCCTTTGGGTCTGGTTTGAAATACTCCTAATTTTGGTTGGATTCAGTGAAAACATGTGTGATTGGTGTGTTGGGTAAACATGAAAAAAACCTACAAAAAATTCAAAGCTCATGGTAAGTTTTGTTGAGAAAAGCAGCTGCCAGGCTTCCTGCAAAAGGGAGTTACAATCAGTTGATTTTTATCAATTCACTAATTCTTTTTGGACAATACAGATATTTTGCATGCATACTGAAAGTTTGTATCCATACTAAAAATTCTTGTGCCTTGTGCATGTAAAAGAAGGAATACATCATGTCCTTCATGTCAAGCTTTATGTAAACAGTAGTCTGTCTCATTACACTAACTTTTTTTCCATTCATCTCAGGTTGATTTTCTTCTAATTTTTTTTTTTGGTTTATGTGTTTAAAAATTAATTTAGTCATTGAAAAAACACCTGATGGACACTAATGGAAAGTGACCACTAAGTCCATTGTCCCGTTTGCACCAGGATTTCAAATTTGTTTTGAAGGACTGAACCTTTAGACCTAAAAGGATAATCCAGTCTCCTGGCCTACTCAGCCCTGAGTTTGAAAACAACATGCCAGCTTTGTTAACCAGATTGCACAGGAAAAGCTAGACTGGGACTGGTTATTACATTTTGGCTATTGAATACCTGTCAAACAGTAACTGTCATAATCCACATGAGGCAGACCTGAAGCAGATACTTTGAGATGAAAAGCTGTGTATCCCATTACCAGTCACTTGAGCTGTTCAGTGTCCATCTGCTGATTGGAGAAGAAAACATCATTAATAATGTATTTAGGGATTGTGCTCTAGCTTTTATGTTGCTGTTAGTTCTTCCAGCATAAGCTAGCCCAGCATTATTTATCTTCTGAGCTCTAGCATCTCCTTAGTAGCCATGGCAAGTTTCATGGTATTTTCTGTTTTAGGGGATAAAAAGAATTAAAACACATGGTATAACATTAGAATTGATCCGTGAATATGAGGTTACTTAGTGTTTTCATAAGAATCTATGCTACATTAATAAGTTTTATCGCTGCTTCAAAATATTTTCCAAAATAGGGAGTCTAAGCAAAGAAGAGTAACTTGTATAATAGTTTATTATAACTAAAACAACTAATTTAGTACTTGATAATACAAATTGCTTGATGCTATGAAATGAGTAATGTAATGTTTTGGACTTAAGAAACTGAATGCTTATGTAGGTTACTGCAGTTCTGTCAGAGGAAATGTCAGTGCTAGTAAAATAGCCAAAAATATCTAGAGAATTTGTTTGGTTTGAACAGCGTTTTAACATTTTTAATTAACGGTTTCACCAGGCACATTACAATTATTGCATTAGAATTCAAGCCATTCAAACCTGTAATTTACAGTCTTATCATTTGGGGAGTTGTTTTGTTTTTATATTGCGGAACAATATGATTTGAAAAATTGTCAGATAAAAGCCTGCAGCCAAAACAAGATGGTATTAGGTGTTAAGTTCTTAATGTCTCTGAAAGTCTTGCTTTTTTGTGAAGTATTGATCTCTTTTTCCTTAGAAAGGGTGGTTTGTATGCACTGGAAAAATAATTATGTGCCTGGAAGAAAATGGCACACAGGTTTCATCCTTGATCCAAAACATTTGCAAAACAAAAGTTCTTTTTTGTCTATGATTTTTTAAAAAAATATTTGTTTTAATATCAAGTAGCATGAACTGGCCAAAACAACCAAAAGCTTGGCTGTTTATCTCTACAAATCTCTGTAGTTTTCATGCCTTTGTGACTTAAATATTGTGTTACTGCAGTACAGAGGGGCTGAGGAGCTATAGCTATGGCAACCGGTGCCTAGTAGGTAACTGACAGCATAAATTACAGGATCTCTAAGGATTTGCTGCAGACCAGTCTCCCTGCTGGTCTGACTGCTCATTTTGGCTTTGACCTTCAGGACAAGGACCAGCATCAAGGCCTTTTCTGTTCCTAGTATTCACCTTTCTGTAAGAAACTCTAAAGAGGTTATATAGATAAACAGGAACAAATGTGTCCTAGACTGGTTTAGATGGGGATTTTTTTGCACTTGTATTTATTGTAATTCTTCAAGTGAGACAAATTGTGTCTCATTTTTGCTAGTATCAGTGTTGCTACATCTACTGTAGCACTTTTACCACCTCAACTAGCTCGTTCAGCAGGGTATTTTTCACAACCCTTATTGTCTGAAGTCAAACTCAACCTCAGACATAGTTTTTATATAAAAAATGAGGTCAGGATTAAGCTGGGATATGAAGCATTCTTGTTTCTATTACTTAGGTTATGCTAAGAGTATGTGAATTAGGAAAGCCAGTTGCAATCCTGACATTAAAAATCCAGGTGCTCCATAGTCACTGACAGTTGGAGAACGTTTCATGGCAGTATAACAAAAGCCAAGAGATTGAAAGTTGAAATACAGGAGAAAATTATTTCTTAATATCTCTGCAACTTGCTGATTAAATTTAAAGAAAAATTAAACTGATGTCCTGGGTAATGTGTGAGTGGTCATGGTCCAGAACCTGAAGTTCAGTTTCGGGTCTCCTGGTCCTCACCCCACCCCACAATTAATGCTGGTTAAAATATTTCATAGATCAGAGTTTAGTGTCTCTGTTGACAATGTATTTAGATTTCTTTTTGTGAAAGCTGTTGGCCATTTCTGTAAAGATCATCTGCCAACAGTTATCTTTTCACAGTTGCTTAATCCTGTGCACTTAAAAACAAAACTGAATGTACCCAAACACATATACCTTCAGCCAAGTGCCTTGTTGGTGCAGATATAATATTATTAGGTAATAATAATAACAATGACTTGACTGAACAACCCAGGACATATGTTCTGACATTATATGCAATTAAAGAGCTGTTGTAAATGTTTCAAGGAAAATTAAATTAATTTGTAAGGAAATGAGAACTACAACTTAAAACAAGTTTCAGCAGTCATAGACAAAACCCCAAACCCTTATCTGAATGAAGCATTTCATATTATAGAAGGTCTGATAGATTTGATGGATTTCTTTAGGATGCAGAGATCACATACAGAATTTTATTGCTTAAATATCATCGGCAAACAGTAAAGTGTAATGCTTGAGAAAACAACCACAGTAAAGTGATGGCATCTGTACAAATGTAAGGCATAAAGAAGCAGCTCACAGGAAAATCCTTGCAAAATGTTTCTGGAGTTTCCTGGGTTCAAAATTACTCATTTTCCATTAATTTTAAATAAAGATGACCTAATAAAATTTAATGAAGTTATCACCCTAACTGAATTTAAATAACTCTGTTTAGAAGACTAATGCTTCTGTTGTGGGGTGACAAAGCTGAAGAATCTGTTTTTGTTTTTTTTTTTAGTAACTACTATTTCCTTTTTCTAGTAACTGGTTTCAGTACTGTAAACAAACTTTCAGAAATTGGTAGCAGAGTTCCCAAGATTGGGAGTTGTCTGATATTATTGATGAACTGATAGCTAGGAAAAGAGAAGAGAATTATTTACATGGTGATTTTTGCCCAAGAGGATAGAGAAGTGTGCTAAGTGTATGTGTTTGCAACTGAAAAAAACCACCGATAATGGAGACAGATTTTTTTCTTAATTATTAACAGCTAGTATAAACCTGATTCGGATCCCTTTTCCTAAAAATGTCATATTACTATTACTAATAAAATGAGTGAACCAGTCAGGTACAATGCCATTTTCCCTCTTAACATTGATTTTTAGTAAGATTGCAAATGAGTAGAGATTTTTGTCTTGCAGCTGTTTAGGATCGTACAAGAATTATATATAGGAAAGGGGGAATAGATGTGAAGAGATAATCCATGATAGCCCATTACTCGTCTGTTTTTTTTCTCCTAAATAATCTATGACAAGCATATTTAAATTTACTGAAAAACCTTCGGTAAAGAAGGTTTTACAGCCTTCTTGGTGGGTCTGTTCCCTGGCAGAATGATCATAATAATTTTTTAAATTCTTCTCAATGTACTATTTAATTAATATTTCCTGTGCTTCTTCTAGTCCTCCTTCTAGTGGATATCCTAGCAGTAGGTGATCATCTTTTTATAACTACCTTACATGTATAAAGAGAATGAACAAGTCTTGCACTCTTTCAGATTCTTCACCTATCTCATAATTCTCATTTTCTAAGCCACATTTACTGTTATTTTCTTCTCTAAATACTAACAATTGCTAAACCTATTGACTTTTTAAATTAAAGCAATCCAAAAAACCTCAGTAGATACACACCTTAATTTAAGTATTTTCGAGTTAGTAATGTAAGCACATAGTAAACATTAAGGAAAAATGCTCTCTAGTTCTGAAGAGTGTGGTGGTCAGTATATCAAATAAGTTCATAAGGTCATCCTAGGTCTAAATGAGTTCACAGTGTTCCACTGTAGATTTCCATCTGAAAACAAGTGTGTAAAATATATTCTGGCCCTCTCAATAGAATAATAATATCCACATCAACACCAGACTAAAGTTAGATTTTTGGTTTTTCCCAGATATTAGAATTTTTATTTTGAACATGGAGAAACTTGCAGCTATACTGCATCAGGTGGAGCTGTGGGGGATGCTTGGGACAGTTTCTCCTCCTTTTCTTTCTTGTTCCTGATGACAGCAATTTATCATGGCTTTTTATTTGATACAGTGTACTCTTCAAACTTGTGCAGATTTTTTTCCCATGTTCAGTCTGCATGTTTTAATTGAAGTCTGCAGCTTATTTATCTCTGCTTTGCTGAAGTGAGGATATAAGTAATGTATTACAGGACTGAGTTTCTTATTCTCTTTTGTTGCCATAAGTGAATATTCCTGAGCTTGGTCTGATCTGGTTCCT